GAGGAAGTGGTGGTTCATGGATGTGTGCAGGAGCCACAGCAGCAGATGGGCCCCAACTCACTTGTCCATCACTTCAATAAACCCTTCCATTCGAGAACACTCCTATTCCCTATGGCACGCCTCCTGCCCCATGAACCAGTCTGGGGTCTGATTCCTGCAGTGACTCAGTATCCTCCTTAGTATCACTGAGGATGGGGATTTCACCCAGTTCCTCCATATGGAGGTGCAAAATCACATGCTCTTCATCTTCTGGGGCGGCCTTCTTGCCCTGCCCTGCCCTGCCCCAACATCCTGTTGAACAATGAGGCAGGCAGGCGTCACAGGGGGTCATGAGCCCATTCAGCTTCTGTCCATGACATGTATGACAAACCCTCCTAGAGCTACTGTTCAAGGCTTTTTCCATCCTGCACAGGAGCCTGGAGTGCTGTGTACATCCTGGCATGGAGCCGGAGTCCACTCAACATTCATCCAGTCCAGTCTCCAAGACATTTCCTAGTAGAGGTGAATGGTCCCACTGTCCCACTGACTACGGTCAGCAGCTGCGTGTGGTTAGGGGCCAGGTGGTCCCCCACTGTGCAAATCAAAAGATTGTTCTGATGCAGTCTGTGCACCCCACTACCGCTTATGAAGACTGCTGGACAGGGACTGGGCAAGGATCAGGAAGAAGGATTATTGAAATGAGATCTGGTGCATGTCCCATACCTCCATCTACACCACAAACCAGGGGTCATGCCGCAGCCTGAGGGTGTACTTATCCACAGGCCCAGCCAAAGGATTGCAGGGCCCAAGGCAGGATGCTGGGAGTGGGTCCCCAGGCCAGTCGGAGGATGGTGAATACTCAGCAGCGCAGGGCCCCGAAAGCGCAGGGCCCAAGGCCTTTGCCTTGCTCGCCTTGCCCTAGGGCCGGTCCAGCTTATCCACACCCTTCAGGTGTGCTTGTTTATCCCCATGCACCTTGGGTATGTCTACACCACCCCGCTAGTTCGAACTAGCGAGGTAATGTAGGCATACCGCATTTGCAAATGAAGCCCGGGAAATTCAAATCCCGGGCTTCATTTGCATAAGCCGGGAGCCGCCATTTTTAAATCCCGGCTAGTTCGAACCCCGTGCCGCGCGGCTACACGCGGCATGGAGTAGCTAGTTCGGATTAGACTTCCTAATCCGAACTAGCTACTCCGTGCCGTGTGTAGCCGCGCGGCACGGGGTTCGAACTAGCCGGGATTTAAAAATGGCGGCTCCCGGCTTATGCAAATGAAGCCCGGGAAATTCAAATCCCGGGCTTCATTTGCATAAGCCGGGAGCCGCCATTTTTAAATCCAGGCTAGTTCGAACTAGCGGGGTAGTGTAGACATACCCCTTCAGATATCTGTTTCTGAGCTTAGAAGTGGACAAGAGGGAGGTTCAGGTGGAACCACGCACTTGGGCACATGTATGTTGCTAGAGTAGATGTACCCAACGAGAGACTTCCTCAGCAACCTTGTGTCAGCATTGGCTGCCAAGCTGAGAACACAATTAAGCTTCACAGTAACTCAGCAGCGCCGTGGCTCTTTTCCTCCCCCCTTGGTGGGTAGGACATGCCTGTGGGACACAAGTAGCACGAGGCACCTAGCTACTAGTACAGTGCAAGGATGGTATGATGCCCCCTTGCACGTCAGGCCACGAGGGGCATCATTACAAGTAAAAGGAGTACATACATCTATCTCACCTGGCTGATCCCCCAAATCAGTCCACAAGGGAGATTTACTAGTAGTGAGAAACCATCAATACCTAAAGCCTCCCTTGTTAGCAAAACACTGGCAAGGCACCTAGCTACTAGTACAGTGCAAGGATGGTATGATGCCCCCTTGCACGTCAGGCCACGAGGGGCATCATTACAAGTAAAAGGAGTACATACATCTATCTCACCTGGCTGATCCCCCAAATCAGTCCACAAGGGAGATTTACTAGTAGTGAGAAACCATCAATACCTAAAGCCTCCCTTGTTAGCAAAACACTGGCAGACATGCTGTGCAATACAAATCAATCAGTTATAATAATCATTCATTAATAACACTTTATAACCAAGTGACACTTTTTGTCTGAGGATCTCAATTCACTTCCTATGCAAGGGTATGTGCGACCTGAATTCTACACTGCATATAAGGTCATAGGCAAAGTCAATGGCAGAACCGATAATGGCTCTGTTGAGCCAGGCTTGATCTAACCACTAGAAAAATCGGTTCCCTTATACAATCGCAGATGTCAGCGATAGAAGACCTAATGTTCTTGCCCATCTACCTTATCCACCTACCTAATCTTTAATCTGCAATTTTGTGTCACCCATGATAAAATCAGTACAAAGTTTCTGGCTCCTCTCTTAAATTAGAAAGCATCTCCATAGCAATAAGATCATGGAAGCTCCACAGGCAAAATCCTCAACATAAGACAGGTTCGTGAATTCAACCCTCTGGTGGTGAATAGTTTTTACTGACATTCATTCAGACTTCTCAGAACTAGCCAACAAAACCCTGTTGGTTGTCAATATAACGTTGGCACATCACTTTGAGTAAGTACTGATATTCTACTACAATGAATTTAAAACACAAAGATAAACAACCACACAAAAATAAGTGCCATAGTTCCAAAAAGATTTTATTGTACCACCCTGACATTTACATGAGCTAGTTCCAAACTCTGTGGGTAGTCCTGTTGAAAATAAAGGGAGTAAGACTGGCAAAACTGAGATTCATGCCTGCACATTGGGGGTCTGACTTTTTAAAATTATATTAGACTGCAAGTTGGATCTGGAAGTTTAGCTAGTGATGGACCTACAGAGAGAAAACAAAAAGTATATTCCCTTATTTAGCACCAAGTCCATAATTTTGAATCAGTTTCACAGATTTTTGTATTGCAAAATTCTTCAAAAAAACCCCAAAAACCTCAAGCCAATGACTCAAATGAAAAATAAAACCATAACTATGCTTTTGTAGGGCTTCTTATCACAAAGCACTGAAGAAATATTAACTAATTCTCACATCATCTCAGACAAGGAGGTAAATGTAGGTATCCCAGTTTCACAGAGGTATGAAATAGGTTCATACACATCCAAAGTTGTATATTGAATTGGTAGCAGAGCTAAGAACAGAGGAGCATGAGTCTAGATCACAGGCCCTGCATTCTAACCACTTAACAACACTGCAAAATGGAACTGCAAGCAGCAATTAAAGGTGGATTGCGAACTGGTTTATGCCAATACCACATTTTGCTAATGCTATACATGAGTGATCCCTTCTAATTACAAATAGTCATACAATAGTTAAACAATACAGGTTGGTAAAAAACCAATATTTTACTCCAGGCTATGAGTACAATTTATCTGCCATAGCTACTTTTCACACCAATGATTTCCCAGTCCTTTCAGTGGAAGCCCATGGAGATATTATAATAATGTCAACCAGAGAGGGAAGGAAAGACAGATAGTGAAAGTCTCACCCAGGGATGGCCCATGTGATGGGGCACACTAACCTGGTGCATAGATTGGCAGGGAAACAGTTA